CATAATGGCATGCTGCTCTGAGGGGCGGCAGGAGGTTTGGCGGCGTTGCTGCTAGGAGCCAGCCCAAGGAATGCAAGAAGACCAGGAGGGGGACTTCCCTCAGGGGTCGTGGACTTGACTGTGCGGTGGTCAGCTTGACGTCCAAAGGGCTGCGACGGCCATGGCATCGGGCATGACTTCTACGTACCAAACGCAGCGACGGGTGGAGTGGCCAGCTTGGTTCTGAACGAGTCAATCATGGACTGGGGAAAGGTCTGGCCCTTTTCCCAGATATCCAGAAGCTTCGAAATCTTCTCCTACAATGTGATACAATACGTAAGTGGATGGTCGAACAAGTAGCGAAACCGTGTTTCATCACCAAGACGCGAGGCCGAAACGACAAGAGATAGGTTCATAGCAGATCTAGGGTAAGCAGCAGCTGCTGCTTCCGCGTCGTTCAATGGTAGAGATCTCTGAATGAACCAGTCTCCGACTGTCAAGCTGGCACTACGCCTTACGATCTGCTGATAGGCCTCTGGCCCGCCGAATACACTGGAACAGCTTACCTTGTGATTTTCTGGTGCAGACTGGACAATATCATTCATCAACACGGGCATTAGCTCCGTCACGCGGTGAACGCCAGCAGCAAAGGTTCCGTCAGTAGCGGAGCCATCTACGTCCTGGCCGGAGGATTTCGCTCGTTCCAACCACTTGCGCGTTACCGAGTCTACAACGTATAGCACTCCAAGTTTGTGGTCGCCTGCTGTCTTCTTGAAGTGTGTGTAAATCTTTTGGATCAAGACAGATTCGGACTGAGCGAGATGAAGTCAGCAACAACCCGGGGAGATGTGGTTCACAGATGAGTGTGGTTATCATAAAGTCCGTACCTGAACGCTGGCAACGCAGAGCGCTGTTATAGAGGAAATGCGAGACCCAGATACACCAGGAGGCTTAAGGTGAGACATGGCCTGCAGGCCAGCCTCGAGTTCAGCAACAGGAGATGCCATGACGGATCCTTATTCGCGACGGTTGTTCGTTACGATATACGAGAGTGTAGAGTAGACTCCGGCGCGAACGAGAGCGCTCGCGGCTACAGCGACGTGGGTACTTGCGCTACTGTTTCGCACGAGACGTGAAGTTGGTAGCAAGGTAGCAGTGTTTCGAGGTTTCGCGGAGGCCACAGTCCTAATACGTCCTGGAGGGAGATGGTGTTGTCGAAGAGTAAATAAATCTTGTGCTTTGGTAAAAGGGAGCGACAGCCCGCCGCAGGCAGTGGACGGTCAGGTTGGGAGCGGGGCCTGACAAGAGGGTGCAGTTGCCGTATGAGAAGGCAGTTACGAGGAAATATTGGAAGTTACTCTCTGCTAGGACGCTCTTTCCTCACGTGCTGTCGCGCTGCTTCGCTTCACCAGCTCGCTATCAATCACGTACCCTCTGAAGAGTAGAATGTCCAGCCTTTACTAGTGGTCGGGCCAGACGATTGCAATGATGACGAAGATTCAGAGGTTCAAGATGCAAGCTAATCGTCAGACGAAGCCTAGGAGTGTGTGCGGCAAGTCGGGCAGCCTGCAACTTGCGACCCTCTACTGCACACCAAGCGCGAGAACCACCAGTTGGTCGTGTCACGACGAATTGAATACAATGATAACGATCAGCAGATGGCGTATATCTGCATGGTCGATGCGAAAGAGCTCATCAGGCGCGCTGGTCGGACTGCACGATGAAGCGATGGTCGGGTGTGATGGATCTGGCGATGAATGTAAAAGATTGATGAGACGGAGCAAGTCAGGCAGGTGACAGTGTTTGGAGTTTAAATCCTGGGGGCGGGACAGTCGTGGCTGATCGCGTTAAATTTGCAGTGTCAGCTTTTTCCATTCATCAGCGAGTGGTCCATGCGCCGGGATTCGGTCGGCCTAGTGCGGTTAGCAGATGCATTTGATCACGTGGCCTCACAAAATCATTCCAAAGGCGCCGCCTCGAGTGCTGAGAGAGATCCTCTGATAACGGCGGAAAATGGAATACAGACAGCCCAGGCGTTAATGCCAGGCCATATGAAATACCTCGTCAAGATGTTACTTGCTCAGTCGGTTTGGATGACACATTGCGCTTCAAGGCTTGTGGTAGCCAAAAGAGGGGCAAAAGTAAAGTCTCGTGCGAGATGCGTCAGGAATTGAGCCCAACGGGGGGCTCGAACCCCCAACCTTGAGATTAAGAGTCTCACGCTCTACCGATTGAGCTAGCCGGGCAGGCAGGTTGCTTGTTGTTTCTGAATCGCCCGCGAGCACGACTTATGAAAATTTTCTTCTTGTCGGCAAGATGGGGATCTAAGATCTCTCCACCGTGCGGTTCATGGTTATTGCGAAATTCAGACCATAAGAGAAGAAGCTAGTTGAGGCAGATCGTCGGGCCGCCCGACTGACTTCTGGCCACCCACATGCTCGCAAGCCAGGCTATGTTTCTTTCTGATGTGTAAGAGATGCATTGAATGCAGGCCCTGCCCAGGCTCGGCAGGTCAGACGGAGCAAGGTCGAAACACCTCATTCCCGAAGCTGTACCCGCTGCCAAGCATTCGTGACAGCACATACTGGGCTCTTCATCCTCACGCCCGAGGTCTTGGAGAGGTGCCGATGCATCATGGATGAACGGAAGGGATTCAAAACATTAGCGGAATTCCCGGAACATTGGTCATCGTCTTCCTTCATGTGATCTGATTGAAGATATGAGGTTTTGGGTATGTCCGGATTGGAGTCAGGATCGTGCGAATTACTCCGAATCGTGCCGGTTATTAGCGATACACAGTGTCGGCATCAGATCGCGCGCAAGCCTCGTTGGGTGGTCAGTCCTCACGTCGCTACCGGGCTCGTCCAAATGTCTCGCCAGGGTCCAGCACGCTGGACCGATCGCAAGAGCTAGTCTCTCTTCTGCTGTTTGTGAA